AAAGCCCCTCCCACTGGACTAGCATCCCCCAGAAACTGAGCTACTTTCTGCTTCCCTCTGTAACCTTGTGCCCACCAGAGGTTTATGCACAAAATGGGGGCTCTTGGGTGTCTTCAAATATCAATGACAGCTTGTCTGTACTGAGCATTATGTAAGCATCTCAATATCAGGCTTTAATTCCACTCACCTCCTGAGTGGATATTATTTGTGTTCCTTTTTTACACATGGAGAAACTGAGGCTTAGACTGTTGAGAGACTGGCCTAAGTCCAGGGGATCTGTTTAGGGTGGAACTGGTTCAAACCCAGGCAGCCAACCCCATCTCTGAGCATCTAACGGCGTCTCTCCCCATGCCTTCCCACCTGCCAGGTGGTGAACAAACAGATGGAGGGATGAGAAAGTCCACTGGAGCAGCAGTGAGGCCGGAGGACTAGTCAGAGGGGCTGGCCATCCCTGGCCTGGAGGAGCCGGGAAGGAGCAGTGCTGGCCTCATCCAGGAAAATGGAGGAAAACCACGTGAACATCCATCTCAGCTCCTTCTCAGGGAAGGGTCCAACTGACTTTTCCCTTGTAGGACTCAGACAGCAGGCCCAGAGGCCTCCAGCTCAGGGAAGGCTGTGGAGAAGCCCCCTACAGAATGCAGCCTCAAGGGTGGAGCAGCACTGTGGTCAGTAGCCCATGACCTTCCTGCTTGCGGGGGTTCCCTGGGCCAGGGCCTCATTCCTTCTGGGAAGAAATTTGCATGGCTGGCCTTGGGCCACACATGAACACCCTCCAGGCCAGCACCTTCCCGGAAGGCTCTCCCTGGGCCTGGCCGGCTGCATATTCCTCATCTCAATGGATGTGGTGATTAGGTGCTCACATCTTTAGATTTCTGCCAGGAACATTCAGATTTCTCCCTGGCCAGGAGAATTGAAATCTCAGAAGTGGGGAGGCGTTAGAAACCTGAGCCATTCTCTTATCCCACTGCAGAGAGTGCTCAGCGGGTCTTTGGGGCAGCCAGTGCCAGGAAGGCATCCCTGTGGGGAGAGGACCCAGAAGGTCCTGCTGAGGAGGAGGGGTGGGCGAGGGGGAGGAGGAAGAAGAGAAAGAGAAGGGCTGAGCCAAGCAGACAGAAGCTCTTTGTCTCTGTGGGGCCTTGATAAATTGGGCAACATTTGGCAACAATACACATTAGTTAATAAAGCCACTGTTTTCCTGCCTGTTACCCTTCCGCTGAGCCTCTCTTCTGATGGCAGCCCCATCACCCACAGAAGCACTCCCAGATGCTCCAGGGCCTTCGGCTTTGTTCAGGGGGCCAATATGCAGCCAAATGTTAAGGACTTCCTTTGGAAATCATTGTCTCTGTGATGGGATCCTGGGAGGACCTGAGTTGGTAGAGGTGCAGGCAGCTCTTCGTCCATCTCTTTCTTATGTCTTATTCTCTGCCCCTCTGTTCAGGGTGGTCAGCAAAGGAATAATCAATACCAAGGCACCAAGTACCCTAAAGGACACTGGGTAGGGGTCCGGAGTGAATTTCTAGATTGGCCACTCAACAGCTTTGTAACTATGACGAGTTCCTTGCCTGGGTCCTCTCATCCGGAAATGGGTCTAAAGAGGTACCTCACGGTGCTTCCATGAGCATCAAAAGCCAGGGCTGCCGTGTGGAAGGGGCCCGACAGTGCTTGGTTTGCAGAAAGGTTCAAGCTTGTCAGGTTTCCTTCCTGACAAGATTCACCAGAGCAGGGTATATCCCTGAGCCTCAGTCTCTGCATCCTGGGCTCTCAGGGTTCCTGGCCCTCTGGAAGAGAAAGTCCCCGGCTATGGCCCTAACACTCCGGGCTAGCAGTTTATCTCTGTATCTCACTCATGGTGAGAATACAGGCAACCCTCTGAGTACCTATTTTTAGAATGGGAACAGTGACTGTTTTAACTCAAAGAGCTACGATAGAGCCACATGGGGCATAGTCACCGATAGTTATGTTTGGATTTAAGAGTGTTATCCATATGCCAAGGATTATTATCTTACCTTTATTCTAGGGATGGTATAGCCACCTCCACACAAACATATCCACACTAACATGGGCACTGCATACCACCAAGCAGTGACAAGCACAGGCAGTGATGCATAGGTAAACTGGCCCTTGGGGTTGGGGGAGACTCTGATTTATAGCAATTGCTGATTTCCATGGTGCAAATACACCCACTATAACTGATAGCAAACTACCATCAGTTAGCCACCACAAAATTCTCATTTAGCAAGTGGTTAAATAACAAGTCAGTGACACCACACCACCGGCAGGGTCAAGACACAAAGCTTGGAGGCTCCTGCTGGCCAGACTAGTGTCCATGTGAGTGGATGTCTGGGGAACTTCTTTTTTTTTTTAATCCCATGTGAAGCTGGCTATGCTCAGATCTCACACTACCTTCCCAAAGTTTTCTTGGAGTGTGATGCTAGACATTCACAGAGGGTCAAGTATAGTATGCAGACAGGGTTTAATATGGCCAGAGACTATCACCCTACTGATGGGGCTTGTGCCAGGTCATGGGTCTGCTAATCTGCAAAGGCTCTCTGTGTGAACTTTGAAGGTGAGGGTGGGGTTGGGTTAGGGGGAAGGGAGTGAGCCTCCCATACCTGCTTGTTAAACACAAGCTCTTGCCACTGTATGGCAGTTTGTGGTTTGCACAGCAGCTACCTCTGTATTCCTTATATTCCTGTTACTGTCTCAGCATTTGGAAACCTGCATTCCACTTTCCTGCAGGCTTTTCAAGATCTGGTCCAGCCTCTGGCACATTGGAGATGCCACATAGATCAGTGTTGAACGAATGTGTCAATTAATGAGTATGTGTACACAGTTTCCGAGGTGGCCTGGCTTAGCCAGCCTTGCCCTTCACTGTCCTTCAGACCCAACATACTGCAAACAGGATTCTTTCCTCCTTATTATTCATTCATTTCTTCAACCATTACCGGCCATCAAGTGCCTATAACACGCATGGAGCTAGCTGGCCAGAAAATCTGAGGCTGCCTCTGCGGCTGTTTGCTCAGCAGGTTTGGTGGAGAGAACAAAGAAAGGTGCAGGACTGGAGGGAGCAGGTGAGCTGCATTTTAGATGTGTTAAATTTAGATGCTTATAGGACCTGCACGTGTTGCTGTCCAGAGGCAGTTGGACACATGACATGGAGGTCAGCACAGAGGATGATTTTGTTCATCCTTCTTCCATCAAGAGTCTCAGGTCAGAAAGCTCAGAGTGTCCTTCTGTTGTCTCTTGTGCGCAGGTCATGGTCACTGGGTTCATGCTCCAAGCCTTCACTTGGCTGTTTACCAACTACTCCAGTTGTAGAAATCCTACCCTTCCTTCGGGTACCAAGGTCAGATGCTCTTCCTCAAACTCTTCTGGAGCTTTCCTGGGGGTGCTGGTCATTCCTCCTCTGGGCCCCTACTCTCAGTCTATGCTGCTTGGCCTCTTCTCAGGTGGCCTGTGTGACTGAAGTGCCTGCCTATGCCTGTCTCTCCCTCATTATGCTGTGAGCTTTTGAGGACAAGGACAAACTCCTCTTCTTTGTGTCTCTCATGGCATCTCCGAGTTCTGGCACAAATAAATGAGTGAATGTTGGTAATAGATCAGTTGAACTTCATTTGTTTGTCTGGGTAGACTCACCTTGTACATCAGCTCTCTTGGTTGTGGTCCCTGGTTTTCTGTGTTCTTGCCAACACTGTAACATACTCAAGAGGGTCTAGGGCCCCTGTCCTCCCCAGCCACTCTTTTTCTAATTTGCATTCAGTGAGAGAGACAAGGGTTGTGATGTTTCTTAATTCTTGTATAATCATGAAATGGCAAAGCCTAGTTGCTAATTTAGGTACAGGGATGCTTTAGCACCCCTGAGAATTAGTCAATTTTGTATTTCTTCAGTATTTTTGAAACAGCTTATTGCAATTATTGATGAAGGCAACTTCTAATTTTGTAATATCACATTTCCAAACAATGAGAGACCCTGGATCTGTCACTCCAAAACTCAACTGGTGATTCTAACACCAAATCCCAGACTCCACTCTTGGGCCAGGCAAGCAGGATCCCTAATCAGCCCTCACCCTTGTGCCCTGGCAGGAGCCATGCCAGGGATGAAGAGGCCCCGCAGCCTCTTTGGTGGCCTCTCAGACCTGGGCTGGGCCTGCTTCTCCACTGCCAAACGTCTTCCGCATGCTCACCCACGGTGGAGCTGGATCCCTGGGGTCCTGCCCGTCTGTTCCAGGACATACTTTTCAGTAAGGTAGTCTAAATGGAATCAAGAGCAGCTTTTCAGGACAAGTGGACTTCAGAGTCCCCACATATTGGCCAGACTGAGCTGCTAAGAAGGGTGTTCAGGTGATCTGTGATTTCCCTGGCTGTTAGCACCTTACCTCTTTACCTGGTAACTCTTGGACTATGTTTGCATCTGTACATCCAGGGCTGCCTTGTTCTTTCTGCGGTCCACAGCGTGTCCCGCTGCCTGCACAGGTACCATGCTCGATGTGACACTCCCTAGAGATGGATGTTTAGTTTGCTTCCAATCAATTAATGACACACAGTGGTGTCTTAGAGACCCTTGCGCCTGGGCTGTTGTGCAACATGGGATTGTATTTACAAGATACATTCTTAGAAGCAGTATTCTAGCTTTTGAATTTAAAAAATGGCTTCCTCCCAAATATGGCATTTATTTATTTATTTTTATTTTTTAATATTTGGAGACCAGAGTGGGGACACCACTGGGGCTGCGACGCCCCAGGGAGAGAAATAACCCATAATAGCAGAGCCGGGGGAGACTGGAAATCGGAGGTGTGGGCTGGGTTTCCTCTGGCCGTGCCGAATCCCGCCCAAGCGCCCTTCCTCTCCGCTCCCCACGGGCTGCCCGGAGCCTCAGGGAAAAAGCAGACCTGGCTGCGGGGGGCGGGGAGGGAGGGGGGCGCCTATTGGGCAACAGGGCGGGGCAAACCCGGTGAGGTCACCCAGCCCTGGATAAAGGGGCGCGGGCAGGCGCCGGTGGCAGAGCCCTCGGTTGCCAAGTCGCTGAGGACCGCAGTCATGAAGCTGGTTTTCCCAGAGCTGCTGCTCCTCGGGGCCCTTGGTGAGTGCAGGCGCCTGTGGGCGCGCCCGCCCCGCCCCGTGGGCGTCTCAGGTCCCTGCACCCCGCCCACTAGGCGCCGGGACCCTGCGCCCCGTGGGGTGGGCGCTTTGGTCCCAGCGTCTTGCCGAGTGGGCGCCCCGACCCTGCGCCTGACCTGGGGAGGCGGCCGGGCCGTGGGACCGGATCTCGCTTGTTTCTCCAATACCCCCCCGGGGGGGAGAGGAAAGGGCAGGAGCCGAGCATCCCTAGCACTACCCAGAGCCTTCTAAAGAGCCTAGGGGGGCGGGAGGGACCTTGTCCCATTGTGTCCTGCCTAGGGATTTGGTCCCCATTGTACTATTACACGGAAGGAAACTGAGGCTCTGAGAGGGTGAGTGACTTGCTTAAGACACAGCAGAGCTATCCTACCTCCTGCAAGGACTGCGTGCCTCTGGCAAGACAGCATTTCTGAGATTCGTTTTTTCACTAAAAAACGGCCTACCTTGGCTCCACAGGGTTGTGAGGAGGAGGTGGGATGCCATTAGCTCAGTGCTAGGCACAGGTGCACATGCACCTCCCATGGCAGAGGAGTGGGGAGGGGAGCAGATGCTCCTGAGGGAACCCTGTGTCTGAGGGTGTGAGAGAGCAATGACTGATTTGCCCTCTGAAATGCTCCCAGAATAGAAGGCACAAAACAGAAGGGACAAAATAGAAGGGACTAAGCAACTGCTAGTTTCATACTTAGGTATGTGAAGCAATTTCCAAGGTGCTCACAGGGCATTCTCCTGGAATGCCCACTAGAGATGTAAACGCGTGAGTGCAGGGAGAGGAGGGTCCAAGGCTGCAGCATACAGGGCTGTGGTGGGCAGTGGGAGGGGGAGGGGGAGGGTGAAGCCTGGTGTCATGCCTCTCTAGCTCAGTGCAGCTGCCTCCTGTCTTAGGGTGTCTGTTAGGGCTGGGAGCTTCCCGGGCAGGGGTATGGGGGGAGTGGTTGGAGAGTACTGGTGAGCCTACAGTGCCAAACCCAAGGAGCATGGCCCCATCCCTGTCCCTGCCCTCTGGTCTCCTGTGACCTGGCTGTACTTGTTTATTAGTTCCAATAGTACTTTGTAGATAATTTAGGATTTTCTACATGGAGGATGGTGCCATCTGCAAATAAAGGCAGTTTTATTTTTTCCTTTCCAATGTGTCTTTAGTTTCTTTTTCTTGTCCTATTGCTGTGTCTAGAATCTTTCTTACTATGTCGAATAGAAGAGGTGAGAGTGGATACCCTTGCATTGTTACTGATCATAGAGAGAAAGCATTCAGTCTTTCACCACTTTGGTATTACTTTTGCTGTAGTTTTTTTGTAGATGCCTTTATCAGGCAACCAGGTGAGCGAATCTGATCCAGTCTCCTCTCTAGTTGCATAGATTCTAGCAACAAAGACAAGCTTAACAAGAGAACCAGTCTTTCAGTACTGGGTGAATGGTGGTAACACAGGCACACTGACCCAATGGGGATTGGCCCACCATTTACTGCAGCCATTGACAGAGTCAGGTGTATTTTCTCTTGTTGTCTTGGCATCCTCTAGGGCAGAGATCCCCAATCCCTGGGCTGTAGCCTGTTAGGAATGGGGATAGCATTCTGCACAGCAGAAAGTGAGTGATTGGGTAAGAGGAGCTCTGCTTCCTGCCAGATCAGCAACGGCATTAGATTCTCATAGGAGCGTGAACCTTACTGTGAACTGTGTATGTGAGGGATCTAGGCTGCACACGTCAATGAGAATCTAATGTTTGATGACACCCCCCACCCCAGTCCATGGAAAAGTTGTCTTCCACGAAACAGGTCTCTGATGCCAAAAATGTTGGGGACTGCTGCTCTAGGGAGATGCTATAACACAACAATCTAGAGAGACCGAGATTCTAGGCTGGACTTTGCACTGCTGAGGGGCAAGTCACTCAACCTTCTTAGGAGTAAGTTTCCATATCAGTAAAACAGGAACCGTGATCCCTTTGCTGTCCACCTTCCAGGTTCAAACAGGGCAAAGCAGGTAGAAGAATTCCATAAACTGATTTGAGGGATCGTCACATTTTTTTTTTGAGTCAAAGTCTCACTCTGTCACCCAGGTTGGAGTGCAGTGGCACGCCCACTGCCACTGCAGCCTCAACCTGCTGGGCTCAGGTGATTCTTCTGTCTCAGCCTTCCAAGTAGCTGGAACCACAGGCATATGCCACCACGCCTGGCTAATTTTATGATTACCGTAGAGATGAAGTCTCGCAGGTGCCCTGGCTGATCTTGAACCCATGGGCTCAGGCAATCCTCTCGCCTTTGCCTCCCAAAGTGTTGGGATTGCAAGGCAGGAGCCACCACGACCTACTCATCGCCATTTTTACAGGACAGAAAACATGTCAAAGTCACAGAAAGGAAAAGAATCTAGTGGCTCTGTCTCCTTTAATTTGTTGAGAACCACAGACCTCTGGCCAGTGCAGAGATCCTGTCAGTCCCTTCAGATGTCTCCACTTGAAGAAAATGCCTGAACTTAGCCATAAAATGGAAAGGGAAGGAAGGCAGCTGAGAGCGAGGGAGGACTCTGGGAAACTCCATCAGAGGGTGAGGCAGTGGCTCCCACGGACAGTGGTTGATTTCTTACTCCTTGGCTTCTCTCTCCCAGGACTGTGTCTGGCTGCCCCTAGGAAAAGCGTCCGATGGTGCACCACATCAAATCCTGAGGCAACAAAATGCTACCAATGGCAAAGGAATCTGAGAAGAGTGGGTGGCCCTCCTGTCACCTGCACAAGGAAAGCCTCCGTCCGTCAGTGCATCCAGGCCATTGCGGTGAGCCAATGCCATATGTTGGGTAGGAACAAACTGAATACAAGGGAAAGTGAGGGAAATAAGTGGAATAAGATTGAAAATGTGCTCTCCCCTACTCCCTGTGCTTTACTTCACGAGCACCTGTAAGTTAGGAGCAGTCCTTTCTCATAAAAAACAGTGCCATTTTCAGACAGAGCAGAAAAACAAAACACACACACATACAAACGAGCTTGAGAGGCCATGTATGGGTAAACTGGGACTTTAACGTAAATTTTAAATAATAATTGTTCAAAAATGAAACATAAGCAGTCCTATTCAATGAATATGTGACATTAACAAAAGTCAAGGTTACTCCGTAAGGTAAAGCCTCCGGAAGAATCATGACCTCTAAATCCTGTGAGGAATAAGCTTAACCTAGACACAGTCACCGCAAGACGATGCTGGGACAGTGCCTGCCAGGGCTATGGGCATTAGAAAGACTTTTGTCCAAGACATGTTCAAAGAGAAAGAAAAGGGTATCATGACTTGTACATTATTTCTGATTCCTTTTGTTTTCTTGAGTTACAAGATCTAGTGAAATAATTTTGACTCATTCATTCAACAAATATATTCTGCCTACCTGCTGTGTGCCATGGCCATGTGTACTTGACTCCTGCAAAGAGTAGGTAATTTGTAAAAGTTTCCAAGATAAACTAATAGGATTATTTTATAAATATAATAGAGTTAAGAGAATAGTACTTAGGGGAGAAATCTAGTTTGATCAGTATTTTAGCCTATTGTTTTACAACTACTGCTTGTGGACAAACAGTACCAGCATCTCCTGCTTGATTAAGATGCAGATTCTTAGGCCATAGTCAAACCTACTCAATCTGAATATATGTGAAGGAAGCCACAAAATCTACCTTTTCAATAAGATCTCCATTTGAAATTGGTACTATGTGCCGTTCATTCATATAAAGTTGAGCTAGATTAAATGGTTAAAAATGAAACTTGTATTATTGAAAAACTAGGAGATGGGCTAACTAGTAGAACTGTAGAGGGAATAGAAATTTCTTAGCTTTAAACAATGAACCAAAGCATGAAACAAATGGATATTTTAAAATACAGAAAATTTATTCATAGTCTATAGAAAACGTTTAAATAAAAAATTTAGAAAGCACCAGAATGACTATGCACCAGCTCTCACAAGTGATTACCGTTTACTCTATAAAGAAGTAATTCAAATCAGAAAAAAATGTAGAATTGCATAAGAAAAATTATATAAACAGAGTATTAGTAAAGGGAATTCATAATTAATAAAAATATTTGTGAAATGTTTCCCTTTATAATCAGACCTAAGCAATTTGTTAGTATGCTGACATTTCTATAGTAATAATAGTTAATAAAATGATAGCCTCTTGCTGGTGAAACTGGTCCTCATGTAAACTGGTGTTGTGAAACTTCTGGAAGGCAGAATGACAACAGCAGCCAGGGACCTGAAGAGACACATTCTCAGGGATTCCACCCTGGGTTCCACTCCCAAGGACACAGGTGGTCAGAAGGAAAAAAGCAGAGAGCAAATATACCCATGAAAGCATAGTTCTGACAGCCAAAAGTTAGAAAAAAACCAAGTGCTGAACACTGGGGGAATTACTTAATAAATTATAAACCATCTGCCTTATAATACAATATTACACAGTCAATAAAATCAGTAAAGGCTCTGCAGAAGTTAGAAAATGAAGTTAGAATTTTGGGTGAATAAGGCAGTCTACAGACTATGACCTACACTATGTTCTCAACCTAAGAAATACATAAGCATGTGGAAAGCAACAAGCCAAAGTGAAAGGGCATGGTTTCTTATGATAATTTTAAGATTGCTTGATTGCTATATTTTCTACTCAATAAAAAATAACTTAGAAGAAGTGAATATGGAGCAAACATAGGCGGGAAAGCATCGAGTGCCAACTACTTTATAGATGACCACGAAGAGTATGATCTGGAGGGTGATACAGGCAGGCACAGGAAAAAGAAGGAACGTGCCAACCTCAAGGTTGGTGCTCATTGCCCATAAAAGAGGCTCCTGCCATCACTCCCAGGACACAGGTGGGCATGATGGAAAGCTGACCCCTTTGAAGACCCTTCTAGCCATGGAGACTTTCTGGTGTCCTGAAATCCCACTTGCCTGGGTTTGGTGGGTTTTCTCCTGAAGCTGGCCTGGCCTCTTTTCTTTCAGGCAGACAGGGCAGATGCTGTGACCCTTGATGGCAGTTTGGTGTTTGAGGCAGGCCTGGCCCCCTACAACTTGCGACCTGTAGTGGCAGAAGTCTACGGAACTGAAGCACGTGAGTTCTGCTTGGGGACTCAGAAGCTGTGGTGGTCTTGGCCCTGGCCCCAGGCTCTGTGGAGTCTCAGTGGATGAACATGCGGAGGTGGGGTCTCAGTCATATCACACATGCAGGGAATAGAGTGACTTCATCTTTGGGATGAAGATGAAGGCCGTTCTTGACGCTGACCCATGAGAGGGGGGACATGTGTGATACCAGGGGAACAGAGTGGGCTCAACATCTGTAAAACTGCAGCATAGGGGTTCCATGTTCCCACCGGAGGCTCATTGGGGTGGGTTGTTTTTCTCCCCCGGTCCAGGTTAAGAGCTTTCAATTCTTTCGGTCCCTTTGTGCAGAGCCACGAACCCACTATTATGCCGTGGCTGTGGTGAAGAAGGGCAGCCGCTTTCAACTGAACCAACTACAAGGTCTGAAGTCTTGCCACACGGGCCTTGGCAGGACCGCAGGGTGGAACATTCCTATAGGGACACTTCGTCCTTCTTTGGACTGGAAGGGGCCGCCTGAGTCCCTTGAGGGAGGTAAGATGGCTGGGGCATAGTGAGTGAGCTCAGGCAGGGGCCTCTCCTCCAGCTGCACTCACAAGCCACACAGATCATGTAGGTGAATGTGTGGGATGAATTTCAGGTGGGGGTGATGAACATGAGCTGGCAGGGTTCATTCTGCCAGCAGCTCCTGGGAGGGGGCCGCTGAGCCTGCTCTAAGCAAGGGTGCATGTCTCTGAGCTCCCAGTTCCGTGACAGAGGGTGCCCCGCAGGGGTGAAGGAAGGGGCTCTCTGCTCAAGGGCAGCACATGCTGGGAGGTGAAACCGGCTGTGGCCAGCCTGGCTCACACTCTGTGTTCAACATTTCTCTGTGTTCAACAGCTGTGGCCAAGTTCTTCTCAGCCAGCTGTGTTCCCGGTGCAGATGGAAGACAGTTCCCCAACCTGTGTAGCCTGTGTACGGGGACAGGGGAAAATAAGTGCGCCTTTTCCTCCCGGGAACCTTACTTTGGCTACTCTGGTGCCTTCAAGTGAGTGATACTGTCCTTTCTTCTCAATGGTCCAGGTGCCACATGGCCTCAGGCTGGGAGGCCTTTAATCTGACTGCAAATAGAGCTCAGCCTGCTCACAGAGATCAGAGAGGAGGTCTGGGTCCCCAGCTGCTGTGCAGATAGAGAGCCTGTGTCCACAGAGGGTGCTGGCATGCCCAGTGTATGTTTTCCTTCAACCCCTTGGGCCCCACCTGTGCCTCCCCACCTCGCATGAGCCTGATGAACAGTCACCTCGGCTGTGGCCCTCTTCTGTCTCCCCAGGGAATCTTGAACCTGACTTTGCTCTTCTGTTGTCCTGGGTTTCTCCTGTTCATTTCGGTTCCCTTTCTAATCACAGTGAGACTGAAGTCCAGTTATGGGCTCCAGGCTGGACAGGACAGCTGCAGTGTCCAGGTTGATGTCAGTCTGCCCCTCCTGGGCCTCTTCCCAGAGCTGAAGGACCGTGAGCTCTGCCTAATTTGACCCCTCCATTCTCTCTGCCCCCTATGCCGGGGCGGAGTCCCCCTTTTCCCATTCTGCCTGCTGAGGCTCAGGCATTTTTGCAGAGGGAAGCCTCTCCTCTTCCCCACTGGCCAGGTCACATTTGCACACCTAGTTCTGAGAGAAAGAGCCAGTAACTAGGGACGCCAAGCCTTTACCCTCCAGGGTAGAAGCTTCAAAACTCTCTTTTACAAAGAAACAAGTTCTGCCTTCTCAACCTTCCAAGCATGGGGCCTCTGGTTAGTACCAGAGCCCTTCTTCAGAATCTACCTATAGGGAGCCCCTGCCATCTTCCCATTTGGAGTACTCCAAAGCCTCAGAGCCTTGCCCTCTGGGAAGCAGACACCCACAGGAGCCGAGCGCCAGGGCTGCTGTTCCACAGGGAGTCATCAGGGAAGGGCCGCCCTTGCTCACCCTCTGGTGCTTTCTCATTTCACAGGTGTCTGAGAGACGGGGCTGGAGATGTGGCTTTCATCAGGGAAAGTACAGTGTTTGGTAAGAGCAGGGGAGGAGCCATGGGTTCTGCCCCCTTTTATCTTATGTCACTGTAATTCTATTGAGCTAAGTAGATTTCTCAGTTCGTGGCATACAATTATCAAGATCCTCTACAGGGCACACATCTTATCTCATGTTCTGTCACATCTTAAATGATCAGTTTTTAAAAAAATCTCCCATACTTATTGCCTTTCTCTTCCCCCTCATAGACACCCCTGCCAAGGTGCTTGATAATGTGTCTTCTGAGAGGCATGTGGTCTTGCAAATGGATAGCACTGGTTTGTTTTTGGGTTCTAAGTTCACAGAGGTTTTACTGAGCATTAGAAACAACGCTGTTCCTAAGGCTCCCACTTGGCATTTTGTTTCAGAGATTTATTATTGTTGCATCCCTGTCTAGTTCAGTGGTCCTAACAGTCAAGGAATGTTCCATGGAACATGTCCACCACATTTTACTTCTCTGTCACCATAGCATCAGGTTGTGCCCTCCTTCCCTCTGCCACATACAGTCACATGACTGATGCCCTTGTGTATGCTCCCTTATTGTCCTGCCGGACCTATCCCTCTGGGACCTGCACTAAAGTACAATTGATGAGAATGCATGGGATGAACACATTGCACCAGGACCAGTGGAGATAAGCCTACCATATCCATGCAAGACCGCTAGAGGCTGGGCTACATATTCCTCCAGGGACCTCAAAGACAGGCCCACACATCTACCCAGGACCTCCAGAGACAACCTTACTACATTCACCTAGGACTACCAGAACAAGCCCCCTCATCCACCCAAGACCACCAGAGACAGGCCCCCCCATCCACCCAGGACCACCAGACAGGCCCATCCCATCCACCCAGGACCACCAGACAGGCCCATCCCATCCACGCAGGACCACCAGAGACAGGCTCACCCCATCTACCTGGAACCACCAGAGATAACCCTACCACATTCATCTAGGAACACCAGAAATAGGCCTCCACATCACCCAGGACCACCAGAGACAGGTGCCATGATATTTGACCAATGACCACTAGGGACTGATCTGCCCAATTCTTTTTTTTAAAATTTTTTTGAGTTGGAGTCTCACTCCATCATCCAGGCTGGAGTGCAGTGGCATGCTCATGGCCACCCCAGCGTCAACCTGCTGGGCTCCAGAGATCCTTCAACCTCAACCTTCCAAGTAGCTGGAACTACAGGTGTACACTACCACATCCAGCTAATTTTTTAGTTATTGTAGAGATGAGGTCTTGCCAAGTTGCCCAGGCTGACCTCGAACTTGCGGGCTCAGGCAATCCACTCACTTCAGCCTCCCAAAGTGCTGAGGTTATAGGCTGAGCCACCGAACCCGGCCTGCTTTACCAAATTCATGCAGGGCCACCAAGACAGGCCTATCATCACATCCACTCAGGACCACTGGACTGCTGTCTGGAATGACACTCTCAAAGTGTTCTAATTTCTTCATTACTTCAGTTTGGAGTATTTTTTACTTTCATATTTTTGTCTGGATGATGGCTATAGTACAACAGGTACTGAATTGTTGGTTTAATTTTCATTTCTGACATCTAGTGAGTTTGAGCATCTCAATATATTTGTTAGTAATTTGGACTTCCCTTTCTTAATTTGTAACTTTGACTATTTTTTTTGTTAGGTTTCATGCCTTGTTTCTGCATAATTTAGATTCAAGGATAGGTGTTCCTTCTATCTAGGGTATGAAATCATTGTTGATTTTAGACTTTAGTTAAATCTTTTCTCAGTCAAAATCTGACAATAATACTCTTTGTCCATCAGAAATCTTTGATATTGTTAGGGTCAAATCCATCAGTTTTGCTCTGTTTGTTTTGTGTTCTGGGAGTCTTTAAAAATGCCCTTCTTCACACTCAAATCATAATGATTTCTTACAATAAGATTTGAAGATCCTTCTCCCCATTTATCTATATGTACTCTACCTAGGAAGTCAGATATGGATTCAGCTTTAGCATTTTATCTTTTTTACAATGAGGCAATTTTCTTTACAATAATAATCATAAAAAATGTCATCTTTTTTCTACTGATATGTGAAGCTAGTTCTACCCAAGTTCATATATATCTAAGTGGATAGTTTGTGAGCTATTTCATTTCATTGGTGTTTTTATTACCCTAGCTTAAAGTGAGTCTTACTCTCTGGGAGGAGAGGGGAGAGAAAGAGAGAGAGAATATGAATGAGAGAGACCCCTCTTTCCTCTCTTACGTTGCTATTTATTTTTAAATATTCTTAGCTAAAATTTTAGAATTATTTTGTTGAATTTCTTTAAAAATTATACTTTAATTTTGATCAGCATTGTATTGAATATAAATTGAACCACAAAAAACTGACATTTATAATGTTAATTTTTCCAATCCATGATGATGCTAAATCTCTCCATTTAATCACACTTCTTTTTATATCCTTTGACAGTATTTAACATTTTTTTCTTTATGCGTCTCATGTATTTTAGTGTGAGGCTAGTTACTAGCTACTTAATGGTTCTAGTTGCTATTGTAGCATTTTACAGTCTATATTAGCTTCTGTTTGATTATCAAGAATAACACTTGATTTTTGTAGGTTGATCTTGTAACTTGTTACTCTTCTAAACCCCCATTTTAGCTCCATCAGTTTCTGTTGGTTTTGTTGGCTTTTCTGTGTAGATGGTTAAATCATCTGTAAACAAAGAGTTTGTCTTTTTTGCTTCCAGTGTTTGCACTCTATTTCTTTTGTAAATTCTTGCAAAATCCTGATATCTAGTATTGTGTTGGCAATGTGATAGTGACTATCCTTGTGTTGTTCCTGATTTTGCAGTTTATGTCAAAATTTTCTTTTAGTATGATTTTTGCTATAGATATTTTGATTAATGGCATTTATCAAGTTCAATTACTGTACCAGTTCTCTATATTATTATTTTTCTGAAACTAATCAAATATGACAAATAGATGTTGAACACATAAACAATTGTTCTACACCTATTAAGATTAAGATGATCTCATGGTTCTCCTCCCTTAATCCATTAATGTGGCTTATTTTTGCTTCTTTGATGTTCAGTCATTCTTTTGTTAATGGAATAAACTGATAAACTTTAATCCTGATCTACTAGTTTTTTTAAATACTCTGTTAGATCAAGTCAGCTAATATGTTATTTGCAACCTTTGCTTTTATGCTCATAAGTAAAATAAGCCCTTAATTCTTCTTTCTTGTATTTATTTCTCTGATTTTTGACATCATGGTTGTACTAATCTCATAAAATGACTTGGGACGATTTCTGTCACTTTATATATTCTGAAGCATCTGATATATATAGATGAACCGTTTTGACTGAGTAAGCGAGAAGAAGTCACGCCAGCAAGCTCAGTCTAATTAATTAGAGTTTTTTTTATTAACGCGTGGGTCAAGGGCAGGCAAACGCCAGAAAAAACTCTTGACAAACTAGTGCAGTTTGTGACAAGCTTTTATAGGTAAAATTTTCAGTATTGGCTACATAGCAGCTTAGTGACCATAGCAACTATTAACTAATAACTTGGCAACCAAAATGGGAAGTTTAATTGTTAGGGAGTTTTGATTAATTTCATGTCCCAGGTATAGCCAATGCCCAGAAAGTTCCTGGGGTTCTGCCATTAAGATGTAGTTTAAGGTAGTTACATAGAGACATGGTAGAAGAATTATTATACAATGGAGTTACCTTGGTTAGGTCATTAACAAGATATAAGAACAAAATATAATGTAGCAATGAGGTTTTGCAAAGAGTAACATTTGATTTCAGTTAACAAAGCATACAATTATATGGAACTTATGGCTAAGGAGTTTTGTAACCGTCAGCAGGAAATGGTCAGTGCGACCTGCCCAAAGGAGACAAAGCTGGGGGTCTGTGGTCATGGGAACGTTACTGTAATCACAGGTAGGCACTGAGGAGTGATTCTTAGGTCAGGCAGGCAACTTAAGATGAAAGTTTTAAACAAAATGGAGAAAGCTGTTTGCTATTTTGCTAGCAATTTAATTTTATTAACTGATTTAGCTTATTTCAGAACAGTTCCAAATTTGCCTGAACTCACTCTAGAAAACATTCTTTTCCTTCTTTTGTTATGCTGGTGTTTGCGAGTTACTGTACTGTATTTCCTACCTTAACATTTTGGCCATTTTAATTATTTGCAGATATGTGGTAGGGTAGCACCTCTTGGTTTTCAGGCTTGTTTCTACAATGCAACTCTTTCCCAGGCTGAGTTACTAGGGTCTGGCTGGGCTTCTTTGGCTCGCCAGGCAGTAGTTGCATCAGAATCCCAAGATAGCGGGTGTGATCTAGTCAGAGGACCACACCTTGCCTGGCCCATGAGGCTCGGGGGTGAGGAGGCACTATCTTTACCTTTCTGAGTGTTCTGGAGCAATCCACTGCCTTTCTGAGCCTCAGTTTTGTTAACTGGATAAAATATCTACCCCAGCTCAAAATTCTGTGGGGTGAAAGGGAACTAGAGCTCACGGCTCCTGCCTGGAGTCCACTCATCTGGGCTTCCTTCCACCTCCCCCTTTCCCCCAGAGGACCTGCCGGACAAGGCTGAAAGGGACCAGTTGGAGTTGCTCTGCACAGATAACACCCGCAGGCCAGTGGAAGAGTATGAACAGTGCAACTTGGCCCGGGTACCTTCTCATGCCATTGTGGCACGAAGTATGAATGGCAAGGAGGACTCCATCTGGGAGCTTCTCCGCCAGTCACAGGTATTCCCACCCACAGCCTTCCGACCTGTGTGGATTTGGGGGGTGGGCAGCAAGGTTCCTTCCTTCCCTAACTTCTGCCACTCCAGAAGCCCTGCTATAGCCTTGCTGCAGGAGCACTCACTCATGCATCCGGCTGCTAGTCCAGGTTGTATTCTGGACAGAAGCAGCAATGAGAACCCTCCAGCATCACTGACTGATGGGACCTCATGGCTGGAGCAGAAGCAGGGAGAGGACGATGCAATATTCTCAGGGCTCCAAGATGTCCGGACCCTCAAAGATCGAGCCATAGCTGAGCTTGTGTTTCAGGGATGGCAGAGTCCCTCTGCTGGAGGGTGTCAACTGAGGTTATTTTACAATCATCCCATGGTTCCGGAGACTCTTGTTTTTTTGAGTTGAAGTCTTACTCTGTCATCCTGGCTGGAGGGCAGTGGCATGCTCCCGGCCACTGCAGCCTTGATCTGCTGGGCTCCTGCGATCCTTCTGCCTCAGCCTTCCAAGTAGCCGGAACAACAGGCGCGCGCTACCATGGCCAGCTAATTTTTTATTTATTGTAGAGATGAGGTCTCGCCACGTTGCCCGGGTGGGTCTTGAACTCACAGGCTCAGGCAATCCTCTCGCCTTGGCTTACCAAATGCTGGGATTACAGGCTGAGTCACCGAGCCTGGCCCCAGATACTCTTTTTTAACATCATTTTTTTTGGTGTTTTCTCCTTATTTACCACTGATAATTCTGTCTTTTCTGAATTAGGAAAACTTTGGGAAGAACAAGTCGTCATCATTCCAGCTCTTCCGCTCCTCTCGTAGGCAGAAGAATCTGCTATTTAAAGACGCTGCCTTAGGGTTTACAAGGATCCCCTCGAGGATAGATGCTGAGATGTATCTTGGCTTCAGCTACCTCACTGTCATCCAGAATCTGAGGGAAAGTGAGTGAGCACCACCAGGCAGGGCCCTGAGGGCCGCCTGTTGTGGGTGGTAAGCTGTGGGTAAGGCCTTCTACTTTGGGGCAGTGTGGCCTACTCTGTGGTGGCCACTCTTCTGTCTTCGGCCACTGTGGGGTCTCCATCATGACAGTTTGATGCAGGTGTGACTGTCTTCTGTTGACCAAGTCAGAGCAATTGTGAGAAGTGTCCTGACCACCTGGTCCGTGCCTCTCTATACCCCTGTATACCTCAGGCTCCCTAGCTCTGACAGAAAAATCAATCTGCCTCCTATTAAATGAGATATATGAACATGGCCAAGGGAGCCAGGGCCTCTCCTGGGATGAATCCAGAGGCAAGGCGGAATGCCCTCTGGTGCCTGGGCCCTGAACTTAGCTGAGGAAACCACAATGTGTCAGCTCAACCATGGCTTTTCCTCTGCTGTGGGGTTTGGGTGGGGATCTGAGTGAACCATGAGACGGTATGGTAGTTATAGTGATGATTGCAGGCCTTTGGGGAGGTCAGAACTGGGCTCAAGGTCCCCTAGGCTATCTCTTGAGGCTGCCATTCTCTCTGTGTCATGGAGCTTTTATCCCGAAAGAGACAGAGACAAAGTGTATCCTTACACTAAGAATTGATGGGTGGATTAGAAGCCAGGGAAGATCTCCAAAGGAATGTAAATAAACACAGGAAGCTCCAGGGCCTGGAGAGGACACAGGTCTCCACACATTGTTTCAGGAGGGGTCTGAGCAGGAACTAGGCTCTGGGGAGGTCGGGCAAGGCTTGGGGCGCCCTGTTCACCCTCTGTCCCCCCTGCAGGCGAGGCGGCTGTGGCAGCCCGGCGCGCACGGGTTGTGTGGTGTGCGGTGGGCGAACAGGAGCAGCGCAAGTGCAGCCAGTGGAGCGGCCTGAGCAACGGCAGCGTGACCTGCGCCTCAGCCCCCACCACGGAGGACTGCATCGCCCTAGTGCTGGTAGGCTCCGAGAAGAGTCGGGTCATGGCCATGTGTCGGGTCATGGCCACGTGCGCCCAAGGCCACCAGGGGGCCGCGGGAGGCAGGAGCGCCTGGAGAGGGTGCACTCAGGCCAGCGCTGGGTGCAAACCTGATAACTTTATGCTTAAAAAGCAGCTTACTGTGGGGTGTCTACTTTTCTGAGTATAAGAACAACTCAGGATTATTGTAGATAATTTGAAAAATATGGAGAGCTATGATGAAAAAACAAAACAAAAACACAAAACAATAAAAACTCACCAAATTTATAAAACTCACTGGTGGTCTCACATGGAGAGATAAGCACGGTTAAGGTTTTGCTAACTCTTTGTTCCAGGATTTGTCTGTGCATCTACAGATAGGCATGCAGCAGTACTGGACTGTATCACTTAGTCAGTTTTTTTTTTTTTTGAGTTGAAGTCTCACTCTGTTGCCCAGGCTGGAGTGCAGTGGCACACTCATGGCCACCCCAACGTCAACGTGCTGCGCTCCAGAGATCCTTCAGCCTCAGCCTTCCTAGTAGCCAGGCACGCATTACCATACCCAGCTAATTTTAAAAAGTTTATTGTAGAGATGAAGTCTTGCTAAGTTGCCTGGCCTGGTCTTGAATCCGCAGACTCAGGCAATCCGCTCACCTTGGCCTCCCAAAGTGCTGGGATTACAGACTGAGCCACCGAGCCAGGCCTCACTTAGGCAGTTTTTAAACCCCTTTCACTAAACAGTATGTCATGGGCATTTTCCCACTTGAATACTTACTTATTCTTGGAAAACATTTTAAAATTTTACTTCAGGTATCTTTTCTGTAGATGTGGCCCAGTTTAGTCATGACCCTGTTCCTCTTCATCCCCTTACTTTGCTATTATCAGTAACCCTGTGATGAGCATTCTAGAACAGAAATCTTTGCCCTCAACTCCAATGATTTCTACTATTATTATTTTTTTGAGTCGGGGTCTCACTTTATCGCCCAGGCTGGAGTACAGTGGCACAATCCTGTGCCTCAACCTCGACCTCCTGGGCTCAGGCGATCCTTCTGCCTCAGCCTCCCGAGCAGCTGGGACTACCTGTGAGCATCATGAAGCCCAGCTGATTTTTTGTAGAGACGAAGTCTTGCTATGCTGCCTAGGCTGATTTTAAACTCCTGGGCTCAAGCCATCCTCCCGTCTTGGCCTCCCAAAGTGCTGGGATTGCAGGCGTGAACCACTGTGCCTAGCTTCCAATTATTTTAATATAGTCATAAATAAATTATTGCTGGGCCACAGAGGGAGTTTTGCAGTCTTGATGAGTCTTGTGTTGGAGTGTGGGCTTGTTCACTCGGATGGCGAGCCAACTTAGTGATTTCTGCTCATTTGTTGGACAGGTTCTATGTGGCACTAATGTAGTATAGTGCTAACGAACTGAGATTCGACGAGGCCAGTTATTCCCGTCTGTGTCCTCAGTGAGTGAGGCTAGTCCAGCAAGGTGTCCCAAGAGTGCCCGAGGTACAGAAAGGGTCTTGTTCAGAGGACAGAGGTTTAGCACAACCTATGTCTGGTCTTTCCAATAGAACTGACAGCACAAAAGACATTTGGGGCTGGGAGAGAATTAATAATGTGCATGGTGTTTCCTTTGGGTGCTCAGTTCAAACAATCTGTCGCTTTCCCCTGTTTCATTGGGACACTTGACAGAAAGTTATTCTCTCAGAGAGCTGTAAAGAGTGGCAGGATACAGCCTCATTGTAGTGCTGGGGATCTGCTCTGTTTTTGCAGAAAGGAAAAGCTGATGCCATGAGTTTGGACGGAGGATTTATCTATACTGCGGGCAAGTGTGGTTTGGTGCCTGTCCTGGCAGAGAACTACAGTAAGTGGAGTTAGTGTGCCCTTCTGGTTTACTGCTTCTGGGCCATGGGTGTGGGTGTGGGGGTTCCCATACAGTAGATCCACAGGAAGACATTAAGATGGATGAATACGCTGGGCTCGGTGGCTCAGCCTATAATCTCGCGCCTTTGGGAGGCTGAGGTGAGTGGATTGCCTGAGCCCGCGGGTTTGAGACCCGCCTGGGGAGTGAGACCTCATCTCTACAGTAAATCAAAAAATCAGCCGGGCGTGGTAGCGCATGCCTGTAATTCCAGCTACTTGGAAGGCTGAGGCGGAAGGATCGCTGGAGCCCAGCAGGTCGAGGCTGCGGTGGCCGCGAGCGGCCACTGCACTCCAGTCTGGGTGATTGAGTGAGACTCCAACTCAAAAAAAAAAAAAAAAGATGGATGAATACATTCAAATGGGAGTATTGGAGAAGGAATAAATGAAAAGGGCCTTGTTACCCACAGAGCCTATTGTGTTGAGAACTGACAAGGGACAGATTGGTTTCATCTTAATTTTAAAGATTTTGCTGGGTGTGGTGGCTCATGCCTATAATCCCAGCACTTTGGGCAGAGGTGTAGGATTACCTGAGCCCAAGGGTTTGAGACCAGCCTGGGCAACTTAGCAAGACCTTGTCTCTACAGTATATAAAAAAATTAGTCAGATGTGGTGGTGCGCACCTATAGCTCTGGCTACTTGGAAGGCTGAGGCAGAAGGATCACTTGAACCCAGCAGGCTGAGACTGCGGTAGCCACAATCATGCTATTGCACTCCAGTCAGGGTGACAGAGTAAAACTTTGACTCAAAAAAAAAAAGATTTTAGTGAAATATAACATGTATACAGAAGAGTACACATGAATGTACAACTCTTGACATTTTGCAAGCTGTGTACTGTGCCCCGATGTAGACACAGCAAATTTCAGAAGTCCCCTGTATCCTCCTGACACCTGTCCCCTTACCTCTCCTGGCTTCTTTTTTTTAGCTTAGAAAATATAGTTTATTTTACAGTACTTGAGAGAAAGAGGGAGAGAGAGAGAGAGAAAGAGAAGATTCACTTCCTCCAAGGTAAGGAAGGAGACCAAAGCCAGGAAACATGGCCTGGCCATAGCTCAAAGAGCACACGGCCACACCATAGCAACAGCCACCTCTCCTAAATTCTAAAGGTGAAGATCAACTCTGCCAATTTTTGACCTTTATGTTAAAGCAGTTGCAGAGCACGTGCATTTTTACATCTGGTTTCTTTGTCCAGCGCTATCCCTGCTACATTCATCCAGCTAAGTGTGTAGTTGTAGACTGTTCAGTTTCGTTGGTGAGGAGTATTCTATTATGTGAATCTACTGTACTTATTTAGTCATTCGACTGTGGCTGGGCATTTGGGTAGTTTCCAGTTGGTAGCTAGTGTGAACAGTGCTGTTATGAATATCTGCACCCATGTCTTTTGGTGAACACATACACATTTTGAAAGGGTCAGCTGAGGTAAGGTAGGCTGGAGCCAGTGCCAGGGCCGCGGGAATAATGCAAGATTGCAATCCAGTAAGAAAGTAGAAAGTTTATTATTCACCTTTCACAGATTGGAAAGGGGACTGACACTCAGAGGCAGGTGTGGCCTCAAAGGGCCACAAAATAGGTATATTTAAGGGCCTTTGGGTAGGGGATTTTGGCCCTAAGGAGTGTCCAGGGCTGTGGGTGTTTGATGTTCATTGTAGTCACATAAGTCTTAGATCTTGAGGTTGCCAGACATTAGCATCTTATGTCCTCAGGTGGTGGGTTAGATGGGAGGAATCAAGGGGAGGGGATTTTCCTGTAAGAGACTTTGTCAGATGTTTGCAATCCACAAACTCCTTGACAGAAAGGTGGGCTATTATCATTTCTATGGCTCTGTCCTTGTCTTGCATCTGATGGAGATTTGCTGAGGGGGTAGAGTAGGCAGCTGCTTGGCCTGCAGTGAAATGCCTGAACATTTCCTAAACCTGCCTAATGGAAATTTATCTATCTATGTCTAATCTGTGCTAACTTCACAGTGTGTCAGGGGTAAAGTCTAAGCAAAAATGGCTATGCTGAGTGGGGCAAAAAGGCTAAACCAAGTTTATTCTAGGTACTTCCTTTCACATTTCTGTATGAAGTTCTATAGAACTTCTGGGACAGTCTCTTTGGATTTGATTCTGCATTGTTGAGATTTAAAGGTTTGTGATTTCTCACTACATCTGAGTGTTTAATGGTGTCTTGTTTGTCTTTTATTTTTTCAGAATCCCCCCAAAGCAATGCCTTTGATCCTAATTGTGTAGATAGACCTGTGGAAGGTGAGTTGGCATCAGTCACTTTCAAGGATAAGTTCTTGTTGCTGGAGGAGGAGGTGGCAGGAACTTTTAAAAACTCACAGAAAAGAATTACAGCCATAGAAACCATAAGTTCTTTTAAAGATGCAAATAATTCACAGAGGAATAATTATAATCAATATTTATATTGACCTTCACACTTGGCAGAGAACATTCATATAGTTCCTCATTGTATCCTGGTCATGTGGAAGGAGGGGTGCTACTTCTCTGTCTTCTATAGAAGAGGAAACAGTGGCTCAGAGAGTCCCCAAGTGTCCAGGATCTTTCTCATAGCCATAGACAATACTGTGGCAGATCCTGGCCTTGAACCAGGGACTCATGTCAAATCCAGTGCTCTGTGCCCTAACCCCACTTGGCCACCAGAGCTGGTGCCTGCTCAGCTTCAAAAGAGACTCAGCCCTTGCCCTCAATGGGTATCTATCAGGTGCACTCTCTCAAGAGGAAGGTGGCAACCACGTGAACCCTCTCACTGTACAGAGCTGGTTTGGACTGGGCTCAGGACTGTCCTTGGAGGCATGCTCCCTCACATCCACACAGCAGTTAGTCTGGTGATTGTTAGTGCTCTTTCCTGATGCATACTGTGGTTGGTAATTTATGCACTGTTGGAGTCACTCTTGTCAGTGTTTGTTGCTTTAGTAACCCACATCTAAAGGTGAATTGTTGATTTGTAACTCGGGGACATTGTGTAAGCTGTTGAGGAAAGTCCCCTGTAATGACTTAAAGGGTCAGCTTTTTTTACTATTGTATTTCATAGCTCAGATCAATCTTACTTTACCAGAAGGCTGCAGCTTATGCTTTTTTTTGATCTACCTAACAATGGCCAGTTACCTGGGGGAATTGTTGCCCTACGATGCTTCTTGACCTTTTTGGCCCAAGTTGCAGACAGCTGCACTAAAGTCCCTATGCCAGGCCTCCTGGAGGCTAAGACTTGCTCTTCTGTCATCTGTTGTGCAAGGATATCTTGCCGTGGCAGCGGTTAGGAAAGCAAATGCTGACGTCACCTGGAACTCTCTGAGAGGCAAGAAGTCTTGCCACACCGCCGTGGACAGGACCGCGGGCTGGAACATCCCCATAGGCTTGCTCTTCAGCCAGACTGGCTCCTGCAGATTTGGTAAGGGGTTCTGAGGGGGTAAGCACATTGTGCTGTGGAACCTTAGGGAAGGGAGGGGGCAGGGGTTGTACGTTGATTGTGGCCCCGCAGCTCTCTTTCGGTATAAACGAGTTGTCCCCGTGGCTGCCTCCTGGGGTCTTTGGATGCATTGGGAGGTTTCCGGCACACTTCCCTTGTCCCATTAATCCCAGGATCCCTATTTCTCTGCACCCTAAGAATGGATGCAAGTTCCACAAAGTACACTTTTTTTTAACCTCTTGGAATACCAGACCAAAAGGCCCTGGCTTCCCAACTTAGAGAAAGGCACCTGCCTGTCTCATGCAAGGGGACTTCTGCTACTACACCGAACAGACTGCTTTCTCCACACTGCAGAGGAACCTAAATAAGACTTCAAAGGTCTGGATCAACCTGCTTCTGGGCCTTCTGTCCCCACCCCATCCCTCGCTCACTTTGGTCAGCTTCAGCTATGCCCCGCCTGCAGGGGCCCTGTGCCATGGAGGTGTGTGGCATGTTCTCGCCATGCTCCTCTCTCATGCCTGCATGATGAATGGGTTTTTGGCCCTGGCTGGGGCAGGTTTTCACATGGCTCTGCTCCTTACCAGCTGTGCCTGCTGCTGCTCTTGTCAGTCCCACAGCAGCCCCTGAGCTCTAGGGAAGCTGCTGGGATGGGTGGCACATGGTGTGGCTCTTCCAGTGGTGGGGCTGCAGGAGTCTGATAGTGGGTGGCATGTGCTCAGTGGGGCAGGATTTTCTTGTCACTTTTATCTCCTCTTTTGGGTTAAATCACACGATGAGTTAATTTAGATCAGGTTCAGCTGCAAGGAACAGAAAACCCCTGGAATAGTACGGAGTTAAACAAGACAAATTAATTTCTCTGTTATATAAGTACAGTCCACAGGTAGGTTGACCAGAGCTAGTATGATGATAACTTGGTGTCAGGGACCCAGACTTTGACCACTTGGCCACTCTGCCATTTGTGGCGTCCATGCTCAAGGTTACTTCATGGCCCACATTACAGCTGGAGGACCAGTCCCTGCTTCTGCATTCCAGGTGCAGGATGAAGAAGGGGAGGAGAAGAGCCAAAAGGCATGCGACTGCTGCCTTTTATGGATGTTTCCAAGAAGCTGGCACCCAACACTCCTGCTTGTTTCACGGGCTGGTACCCTAGCCACATGACTCTATGAGCCCCAGGGCATCTGAGAAGTCTGCTCTTTATACCAAGAGGCCAAATGCTCAGGGAAAAGGCAGGGTTTCCATTACTGAGAGAAATGGACATTAGATCCTGGAGCAGGCAGCTAGCAGGCTCTGCCACAGATGGCTGTCATGAACATCATCTGAGTCCCCTCAGGTCGAGGCTGTGACGATGGGACTTTCTGTACAATCAGGGTTCTTGTCCCCAGCATCAGTCAGGTTTCCTGTCGGTGCCTACGATTTGAAACTTTTCTGATTTCTCACAGGCCCATGTTAGTGGAACTTGTCATTTTGTGACAGTTAGCATTTTCTATCTGTCCTGGACATTATAATGAACTGAAACCAAGCATGTCACCTTTAGATAAAACCTGTTTATGTTGTTGTAATTGCTGACATCCCATGTTTCTTCTGTCCAGGTGAATATTTCAGTCAAAGCTGTGCCCCTGGGTCTGACCCAAGATCCAATCTCTGTGCTTTATGTATTGGTGATGAGAGGGGTGAGAATAAGTGCGTGCCCAATAGCAATGAGAGGTACTACGGCTACACTGGGGCTTTCAGGTGAGTCTCATCTTTCCACCTGTCGGCACTGCAGTTCTAAGGCATCAGATGTGGCCTGTCACAGCAGAGCTGGGGTTACCCTGTGGATCTGCTCCCCCCCATACCCATATCCACCACCCCAGCGAATGGAGGTTGACAGGGGCCATCTGATCTCAGCCCTACTGTGCTTCTCCTGTGGCTTTGAGCCAAAGTCAGCAGCAGTGGGTCTCAATATCCTTATCCTCAAAATCAGATGGGTAGAGCATGGTACCCTAAGTGCTTTCTACAGTTCAATTTTATGAGGAAGAATTCTCTTTCTCATAGGCACCATTCCCCTCACCTAGATTGAGATCACGGTTGTCTTTTTTCTTTTCTTTTCTTGCCTTTTTTTTTTTTTGAGCCTGGATCTTACCATGCCACCCTGGCTGGAGTGCAGTGGCATGATCATAGCTCACCGCAGCCTTGACCTCCTGGGCTCTAGTGATTCTCCCTGCCTTAGCCTCCCAAGCGAGTAGCTGGGACTATAGGCGTGCACCACACGCTTGGTGAATTTTTTTTGTAGATATGGCGGTCCTGCTATGTTGCATAGGCTGTTCTCCAACTCCTACAATTAAAGAATCCTCCTGTGTCGGCCTCCCAAATTGTTGAGATTAACAGGCATGAGCCACCACACCCAGCCTGATTATGTGTCTTGGTTTTTACTTTGACTTTGGCCTTAAAAATGGTAAAAAGAAAGTATGATTGCAGTTTTATTCTCCAGGAATGAAGTGAAAAATAAACCAAAAAAATGTTTTTAGAATTCACAAATTATAACCACTTATTGTTTCATAATAACTATCCACTTTCCATATTTCACAACTTCATTCTTGTGGGCGTTGCTTTTCAGAGGTACTCTGTAAGGGTTGGAAGGCCGCAAAGAAGACCTTCCCCTACTCATTTTACTCCATTCCCTAAAAGTATATTTCACCCCTAGATGGAGTTATGGATCTGGGGATGGCAGTGGCCAAAGTATGTGGCCATAGAACTGTTTTTTTTTTAAAAGTCAGAAAGCCAGTTTTTTTGTTTTTTAATTTCTAAAGCTCTGTCATACATTTCTAGTGGGTGCTGATGGTCACCTGTCACATTCGCACCAGGTCATTGTGTAGCTAGCAAACAGATCCGGCCATCAGCTGACCAGGCCAGAGAGGTGCGCTGGGGTGGCTCTGCTTTGCTGCTGGTACTGATAACTTCTTGCTTCAGCTCATCTACAATGATCTTGCCTTCTAAGTCCCAGATCTTGATACTGGGGCCCATGGCAGCACAAAACCAGTCGTGGTTGAGGCTGAAGCGCAGGGTGTTGATAATGTCCCCTCCATCCAGCTTGTAAAGGTGCTTATCTTCATTGAGATCCCATAGTGTGGCCTGGCCATCCTTGCCTCCAGAAACACAAGGGGATCCATCTGGAGTGACGGTCACAGTGTTCAGATAACCTGTGTGGCCAGTGTGGTTGGTCTTCAGCTTGCAGTTAGCCAGATTTCATACCTTGACCAGCTTGTCCCTGCGGCAGGAAATGATGATAGGGTTGCTGCTGTTGGATGAGAAGCAGACACAAGATACTCTCTCTGAGTGGCTTTCTTCTTGGACAGTGTATTTGCGTATTTATCTTGGGATCCAGAGACAATCTGCTGGTTGTCAGAGGAGAAGGCTACACTCAGCAAGTCTTGGTAGTGGTGGCTGTTGTAAGATCCCAGAGGTGCAGGGGTCCATCCCAGGAGCCTGAGAGGGCAAACTGGCTATCTGAGGAGATAACCACGTCACTAATAAAGTGGGAGTGACCCCACAGAGCACACTGTGGGATGCCATAGTTGGTCTCATCCCTGGTCAACTTCCATGTGATGATGGTCTCGTCTCAAAAGACAGACAGTAGCATGTCCGAGAACTGCAGGGTAGTAGCGTTCTGCGTTATCCAGATGTTGTGGCCCTTAAGAGTGCCACGAAGGGTCATCTGCTGAGTCATGGTGGCAGTGAGTGCGAGTGTTGCCACAGCAGTGAGGATGGTACCAGATAGCCCAGAGAGACAGCACCACAACTGCACCTGCCGTGGCCTTCCAGAGAAAAAGAATGTAGAACATTTTAATATAAATTCAGTAACCTTTGCTCCAATATTGGAGTGATATAAAGTAACTTTTTGCTATACTCTGAGTGACTCATTTTAAAATACCCGAAACAAAGTTCTGGGCCCACTCTAGGGTAATTGTTTTGTGTCATTTCATTGTGGGCATCCAAATATGGGAATCTATAGGTATTTTTCTTGAGCTTATCCGATTTCCCAGAGAAGGAATTCTGCTGTCTGCTTCTTGGGAGGTATAGCCCTGACAGTCAGTCTTCTGGAAGCTGACTGGAGGAAAGGGACTGTGATTTATCTTTCCAGGATATAGATTTTTCACTGTTTTCAGTGTTGCATCTCTGCCCTTAGCTGCATTTGGGTTCTCTAGCCCATAGTGTTGTCCAGGTTCAGGCTCCCCATTGACCAAACCTTCACCCTTCTGCCAGGATTTGGTGGGGGGATTGATCTTCCAGCTGCATGGCTATGAGGGTACCTAAGTGGCATCTTATGTGCCTCTACTTGGTCTTCCTGTTCCTAGCCTTTTTTTTTTTGAGTTGGAGTCTCACTCTGTCGCCCAGGCTGGAGTGCAGTGGCATGCTGCTCACGGCCACCGCAGCCTTGACCTGCTAGGCTCAGGTAATCCTTCTGCCTCAGCCTCCAAGTAGCTGGAACTACAGATGCACGCGCTACCACTACTGGCTTATTATTTTATTTATTTATTATAGAAAGGAGGTCTCACCAAGTTTCCCAGACTAGTCTTGGACCCCTGAGCTCGGGCAGTCCTCTGGCCTCTGCCTCCCAAAGTGCTGGGATTACAGAGTTGAGCTACCACGCTCAGCTCCTAGTCATTTTTAATGATGTTTTATACTTCTAAATGCAGAGCTTTCTATAGTTCACAGTGCACCTTAGCTTCCTTCTGAGTTTCCCCCACAACCATTACATTATGGCTTTCTTTGTGCTCTGTTAGGTCAATTACTGCTCATTCATTTGCTGTTTGACTTCCAAACATTGTTATTGTTATGGTTTCTTGCTCTCTTTTATGGGTTTATGGCTTTGTAAGAATCTCATGAATGTCATTTTATGGGATTTTAGAAGGAGGAAAGGTGCACATGTGTTCAATCTACCATTTTAAACTAAAGTTCCAGGAAATATTTGTCATTATCTTTTAGATGTTTACTTTCACGTTTCAGTTTTTAGAATGTATATTACAAATATTTATGAAAGCTTTAATAGTTTCTCTTCTCTAGTGATGTGTTTATTTTCTGGAACATTTTAGGTGCCTAGCAGAGAATGCTGGAGATGTTGCATTTTTGAAAGATGTCACTATCTTGCAGAACACTGATGGTAGGTGAATGTTTCCCTTGAAAGCAGAGTCTTTGCTATCACACATATCCCAGTATTCAGACTTGCAATTAGGAAGGTGTTGTAACATTTTTTAGATTTTTGATTGGAATAATTCTAAAATTCTTGACCTCAGTAGTCAACGCTGCAACATCTGTGTCACATTGGTTGTGAAACTGAGTTTACAAACACACACACACACACACACACACACACACACACACACACACTCACTTATTAGCCATACTCAGTAGTAAATGTCTCCCTGGCTTTGTCTAGTCAACACACCGTCTGCCTGCACCAGATGACACATGCCTATGGGAAACAGTGTGGATGATACTAAAAAGCTGAACATATGCAAATAAATTTTCCCTTTTTAAAAAAGGAAGTAGAGGCCTTCATTTAGTCCCACGTAAGTCCCTAGTCTGGAAATTCCTTGAGAGTTAGTGGGGACAAAATCACAGTCAGTTGCAGATGACAAGACAACCCACCAGGAGATGTCTGAACAATCGCTCTCTCTGATCTGTAGATGAAAAACATAATGACCAAATGTAAGAACCCTTGGCCACTTGTGTCTCTCTTCTGAGGCCCTACTCGGCCTCCCCAGCCCTCAGCCTCAGCAGCTGATGTGCTGTTTTGGTCCCTGAGAAAGAATTGCCTCCACTTTCTGCCTCTCTCCTTCAGTGATCTCTACAGTCACAACCACCTCCCCCTTCTCCTTCTACCCCTCTTCGTGACTCTTGGGACAGGAAGTAAGTCCAGACATGTAAATTAGAAATTGTTTCAATATCAAATGGAGGAATCTGGGAGAACCGGATGAAGTGTTTTCCTAAGAGGAGAGCACAGAGAGACAGCAGGAACCTGAACAATGGACCTGTGTTTGCACATGCGTAGACCTGCATACAATTACATTCAGGATTTATGAATCCTCAGGGACCAGATGGTGTCAAATTTAAGTTTAAGATTCTCTGGTACTTTACACCTGTATTTTATTCCAATGTACAAAACATATTTGGCAAAATCATATAAAAGTTTCTATTCTTTCTCTGACTACGCTAAGAGCATCTGAGTATGGAAGGATGGAGAAAACAATTTCTCCTTGAGTGTATCCTTTTTTCTGGAACTCACTAGAAAATATTGCATAGTTGGAGGGTGTTCTCAAAAAATTTTTCAAAAGAACTTTTAACGGTTATTGAGATAGAATTTACACATTTTAAAATTGACCCATTGAAAGCATACAGTTCAGTGTTCTCCAGCACATTTCTCCAGCACAACCTAACTCTAGAACACCTGCGTTCCCCATAGAGAAATGCCTGCACCTATTACCAGTCATATCCTTCTTCGGCTCTGGCAACCATCAGTCCCCATTCTGTCTCCGTAGATTTGCCTATTTTGGACATTTCACATAAATGGAGTCATACAATTTATGGTCGTTTGTGACTGACTTCTTTCACTTAGCATCGTGTTTTTGAGGGTCATCCATATTGCAGCATGTATCAGAACTCCACTCCTTTTTATTGCTGAATAATATCTTGTTATATGAACACAGCACTAATATTTGATGTTTGGAGTTTGTGTAGCTTTTGCAGGGCAAAGCTTCATTCTCTCTCCCACACATCACTACAACCCCAGCATGTGCACTTCAGGGCCAGTGGGATGCACAGCCCCAGTCAGAAAAATCTCCTTGGCTAAGCAGGGCAGCCCTAGCTGATGCCACCTTCCTTCTTTCCCCAGGAAAGAACACTGAAGCATGGGCTAAGGATTTGAAGCTGGAGGACTTTGAGCTGCTGTGCCTTGATGGCACCCGGAAGCCTGTGCAGGAGGCTAGGAGTTGCCACCTGGCCATGTCCCCGAGTCATGCTGTAGTATCTCGGAAAGATAAGGTGGAGCGTCTTGAACAGGTCCTGCTCCACCAACAGGTATGGCCAATGGGGCCCTTGGCTCTTTCTTAACTGCATGGGCTCCTGTGAAATGGTGGGCTAGGTGGGCAAGCCCAATTGATCCTTTCTAGTTCCTCTGGTTGGAGCTCTGGTGACAGTATTTGCTTCATGCTGTGGGGCTGCCTGCCCAGAGTTCAACAAAACAACAGAGGCTTTCTGTGACTTATTCAATTTCTGTAGTCTCTGTTCCCTGAGGCTTGTCATACTCACTGCCTGGTTCAGAGACTGTGCTTTTCCCTCCTGCTGTTATTCAGCAAATGAGCAACACAACTAAGCTTTCCTCCCACACGCCTTGGTGGAGATTGGTTTACTCTGGTGACATTTCCTGAACCTAGGCTGACTGAACAATGTTCTCTGCAAGGCTCCCAACACAGCAAATCCAGATCTTGTTGTGTGGATTTAGGGCTGCCTATGTGAGTATGACCTGAAGGAAAGAACGTCTTTTTCGTGTTACCACATCAGTCTCTAGGTGTGCTTTTAAAGACATTGACCCTGGAATAATAATAGTGGTCACATTAATGAACCCTTACTGTGCACACTCACTGGTGCTGGTAAGAGATTTGCCACCAATACGGTGTTTGGTTCTTGGGCTTCCCATGTGGGACTGTGGCTGAGGTAGTAGGTTGACCCACCTGGGCACCATCCTGGTTAGTGGTAGAGACTGGGTTTTCTTATGCAGACTGCCTCTTTGGGAATGCTGTACATTAGAATGTTCTAGGTGATCAACTTCTAGGGGCAGATCTAAAAAATTCTCAGTTGTCACCTAGTCACCCGTAAGGAGTTCTATGGGAAGAGGTCACAGATAAAGAAGGAAGGAAAGATGGCGGGAGGAAAGATTGGAAGTGGTGTGGACCTGGGTGATTAGGGAGCAGAGGCCGGGCAATAGTCCACCAAGAAGATGAAATGACTCCAGAACTCAGCTCCTTTGGTCCCACAGTTTTCCCAAGGCTGGTCCTGGATGGAAGAAATACTCTTGGCTTCCCTAATCTATAAACTCTCCTCTTTTCCCTGGCTGTGCACTTATTGTCTGTCCTCTTGACACAGGCTCAGTTTGGAAGAAATGGACGTGACTGCCCGGGCAAGTTCTGCTTGTTCCAGTCTGAAACCAAAAACCTTCTGTTCAATGATAACACCGAGTGTCTGGCCAGACTTCAAGGCAAAACAACATATGAAAAATATTTAGGATCACAGTATGTCACAGCCATTGCTAATCTGAGGCGATGCTCAACCACCCGTAAGTGGACCCTGTAGCATCCCTCAGACACCCTTGCTGGTGAAGGGCGGGTATGAGGGACAAACAGCAATCTAGGAATGAAGATAGGTATAGAAATGTTAAGGCAATAAAATATCTCTATATTTCAGGAAGTTATCATCATATTGACAAGGTTTGTAGGAGTTGCAGAATAAAGTAGGAGCATGTAAACTAAATTTTTATAATATTGACAGTGATTGTCATGAGGTTTTTGAAAACTGATCACCCATTTTATTCAGTTAAATGAAATGTGTATGTATACATATGCATTGAGAAATGGTGAAATCTGATTTCTAGACAGTTTGCCATAGATACCATCCATAGAGGATACAAATTCTCAAATGTAGGAAAACATCACCAGGGAGGTGTATTGATAATAATTTCATCCTTTAAAAATATTTAGAAACTATCACAGGGTGTTGCAAAGCTCCAGGAGTAATTCTGAGGTCTCAGGAGGCAACAACTTACGTGTGCATGGTGATGGTGGTGACCGTCCTGATTCCTATTCCTAGTCCCTCACTCAGAGATGGTGGTTTTGGGGGTGCTGTTGGTCTGGGGATGGGGGCAGGGCTAAGAACTTCTTTATCAGTGGTTCTCAATTGGGAGAAATTTGCCCCTATAGGGACATTTGGCAATGGCTGGGAAGCATTTTTGTTATTTTTTTTGTTTTTGTTTTTGAATCTGGATCTCACTCTGTTGCCCTAACTGGAGTACAGTGTCACAACCATGGCTCACCACAGCCTCTACCTCCTGAGCTCAGGCAATCCTTCTGTCTCAGCCTTCCAAGTAACTAGGAGTACAGACACACATCACTACACTCAGCTAGTTATTACATTTTTTTTTGTAGAGAGAAGGTCTCACTATGTAGTCCAGGCTGGTCTCAAACTCCTGGGCTCTAGTCATCCTCCTGCCTTGGCCTCCCAAAGTACTGGGATTGCAGGACAATGGAAGTGTTTTTCATTCTTACAACTTAGGGGGTGCTGCTGGTATCAAGTGTATAGAAGCCAGGGATGTTCCTAAACAATACCCAAGACAGCCCCTCACAACAATGGGTTATTATCAGGCCCCAAATGTCAATAGTGCCAAAGTTGAGAAACCCCTTCCTGTATTGACCGACAAGTCAGGTTATTGTGATGCAAGTAAGGACCACATTTTGAGAATTATGACTCTAGGGCTATTTTTTGTGAGCAGAAGGGCTGCATAGTTCATACGCCTCTGGAAGGCAGAGCCTGTGTGTCCCCAGCCCTTAGCACAGTGACTCACACAGTGCAGGTACTCAGTAAGGAAGGAACCAATGAATGAGTGGATTAATACAACTGCAAATTGATTCACCTTCCAGAAGAAGTTAGAGAGTCGCCAGTGATTTGTGAACATGGGAGTGTGACGGTTGACTCAATTAGACAAGTGGGGTGGGGTGGTTGTGTCTCTCAGGCCAGAGCAGGGAAACACCTGGCTTGTAAGGGCGAAACTCTGCTCCCTTAAACACCACAGTTACTAGGAGTAGGGAAGGGGAGAGTATGAGTGTGGTAAGCATGACTTACAGTGGTGGGAGAAGGGCAGAGAAAATTCTGCTTCAATATCCTCTTTGATTTATCGATTTAAAAAATGAATTTTTAAAAAAGAAGGCATCAGTTTCTGAATCTCTTGCCCTGTTGCATCCCACAGCACTCCTGGAAGCCTGTGCTTTCCTCAGGAAGTAAAACCCAAGAAGACGGCCCAGCCCTCCGAGAGAACCTCAGTCATTTGCTGCCCTCAGCCCTTCTTCTCATGTGCTGGGGCTTTGTCCACCCTTGCTGAGGGTGGCTCTTGCCAATTAATCTGTTTTCACAATTCCCTGCTTTCATCTTAGCAAGAAATAAAATCAGAGATGTTGTTGATTTTTTCTCTTTATAGAGTTTCATCCATCTTTTCTGGAATCTGGTACTGAAATCCTGTGTCTGACCAAATACTTCCATGGTTGGACCTTTTCTTCCAAGTTCTTTTTTTTTTTTTTGGGCGAGGTATTTTTATTTTTATTTTTTTTGAGTTGGAGTCTCACTCTGTCACCCAGACTGGAGTGCAGTGGCCACTCCTGGCCACAGCAGCCTTGACCTGCTGGGCTCCGGCGATCCTTCTGCCTCAGTCTTCCAAGTAGCTACCATGCCCGGCTAATTTTTGATTTATTGTAGAGATGAGGTCTTGCCAAGTTGCCCAGGCGGGTCTTGAATCCGCGGGCTCAGGCAATCCACTCACCTCAGCCTCCCAAAGTGCGGGATTACAGTCTGAGTCACCAAGCCCGACTGGGCAAGGTATTTTTAAGTTAACAAATAATAATTGTACATTCCATGGGGTATGTAGTAATGTTTCAATGTATACAAAGTATAGTAATCGGATGAGTAATTAGCATATCCATCATCTCAAACATCTTTTTTGTGTTGGTGACATTCAATATCTTCTTTCTAGCTATTTGCAGCTATATAATATATTATTGTTAACTGTAGTCATCCTACAGTGATCTAGAACACTAGAACTTATTCCATCTATCTATCTGTAATTTTAAAAATTTTAAATATGTGAGTTACGATTCAGGCTTAGGTATACAAATATTGATTATGCAGGTACTCTTGTTGATGAGGTGTGCCTCTCCCTCCCCTAGCAGTTTCCCTCAACTGCCACTCCCC